CCTGACAGAACTTGTAACTGTATTACTTTACCATTCTTATGTATTCCTGACAGAACTTGTAACTGTATTACTTTACCATTCTTATGTATTCCTGACAGGACTTGTAACTGTATAACTTTAACATTCTTATGTATTCCTGACAGTACTTGTAACTGTATTACTTTACTTATGTATTCCTGACAGAACTTGTAACTGTATTACTTTACTTATGTATTCCTGACAGGACTTGTAACTGTATTACTTGACCTTTCTTATGTATTCCTGACAGGACTTGTAACTGTATTACTTGACCTTTCTTATGTATTCCTGACAGGACTTGTAACTGTATTACTTTACCTTTCTTATGTATTCCTGACAGGACTTGTAACTGTATTACTTTACCTTTCTTGTGTATTCCTGACAGGACTTGTAACTGCATTACTTTAACATTCTTATGTATTCCTGACAGGACTTGTAACTGTATTACTTCACCATTTTTATGTATTCCTGACAGGACTTGTAACTGCATTGCTTTAACATTCTTATGTATTTCCAACAGGTCTTGTAACTGTATTACCTTACCTTTCTAGCATGTTCCTGACAGGACTTGTAACTCTCCTTGTACAGTCCTTGATTTGGTCTAAATAAGACAGTTGGACATAAATAAATAGGAAAATATAAGAAAAGTGAAATAGAGTACTCATATTCAAAAGGTGTTTTGGAGTAATAAAGTTTGAACCATGATGACAGCTGAAAAGAAGCTTAGTTCATAGCATTCACTTTAAGATGCGTTGATGTATCAATTTCTTTCCTACGCACATTATAGTTATCAAAGAAAGAAGATTACTGAAATATGACATAATAGCATACACGCACGTCCTCTCTCTGAATGTTCTAAGTGTGAACAACTGTAATGAATAATAAACACATGCTAACCTGGCATTTTCTGTGTATCTTTATTTTAGGAAGTTAGCCACCAATTCACATAAAATAAACGGATAATTGTGTTTAATGAATGTAGACTTGAATTATTAATAAAGATATCAGATGTATATAGATAACACTTTCATTGAGGTAGAAACTGTACCTCTCAGATATTCATAACAACACAAAATGTAATATATTATTTTAAGTTTCTTCTAGCAATCGATGTGTTCGAAGGAAAACAAAGTTTGATTATAAACAAGATTACGATAAAGACGTATAATTACGTATAATTTTACTTTAGATACTGAAGATGAAATCTGATAGAATTCCGAAATGTTTATCCACGTCCCCTTTTTGTCAATAAACAATGTTGTATATCATAAGTGTCGTAATCTTGTTTATAATCAAATTTCTTCTAGTTAGCCAAAATAATGAATAAATATTTCTTTAAATTTGCATACCGAAATAAATGGAATTTGACTTTGTTTAATGTATGCTAATATAGATCAATTACCATAATTATTTTTCACTTCTTCACATTACTTTTTTTAGTTATAAAATAGAACTAAACATGAGTATTTTCTCCAAGGTTTCCAACGTAGATAAACGGAACTAAACATTAAAAATAAATGTGATTCCCAACCTATCAATCAATTTACCATTGTCACTGAGTTATACTAGTTTTAGGAGGTTCCATCTCTCATCTGTAATCCTGAACAAAAGCATATTGAAAGAATAAGATAAGTCTTCATATATATATAAGCCATTTCAAAACACCATACATGGAACTAAAAATTGGTTCATTTAGGGTGGTATGAGCAAAGAACTTGAACCATTTCATTGTCTTTCTCAGATATTTCTGCATAAGTCTGCTATGCAGCATCATGCCCGGGAGGTCCATAGTGGTGACGTCAAGCCCCACCAGTGTCAGAATTGTCTGAAGACATTCTCATCAAACCATCAGCTGACCCAACATCTCCGTGTCCACACGGGTGAGAAGCCATACAAGTGTTCATACTGTGACCGTCGCTTCAAGCAGCTTTCTCATGTTCAGCAGCATACCAGGCTTCATACGGGTAAAAACGTATTTTAAGAAAATGGTTTGATACTGAATATGCATTTTATACTAAGCAGTCTGACTCTAAAAAATGTTCTTGTAGCCTTTTAATTTTAATCTGTATCCGAAATAATTTGATTTTTAGACTTTTCAATTTTGGGTTTGCATTATATATGTATCAACAATATTTTCGTTTCACTGACGGGATGCATGGTTGGTGCTAGTTCCAGTCTTTGACGTCTTACTGTAGGGCTACATTTTGTTGTTCTAATTGTTATATGCTATACAGATCAACAATAAATCATTTTACCAAATCTATTGAAATTAATTAAAAAGCCAGAGCTTTATTATTTGTTACATTAAAACTTTTATTTTAAAGACTAACATTTATGGTTTTTGATGTGCAACATTTACACATTTATAACTGTAGTGTTTTGGCCTTTCATAGTATTAGGAAAAAACTCTGTAGCAAAATTTTGTGAACTTTATATACAATAGCTGATTTCTTTAGTATTAGTAGCAGTAGTAGCATCATTGCATAAAGACTGATATTTTTGATGTGCTACATTTACACATTTATAACTGTAGTGTTTTGGCCTTTCATAGTATTAGTAAAAAAACTCTGTAGCAAAATTTTGTGAACTTTATATACAATAGCTGATTTCTTTAGTATTAGTAGCAGTAGTAGCATCATTGCATAAAGACTGATATTTTTGAAACGAAAAAAATTGCAATTAGGCTTAGTGCCACAATTTTCTTTCCAACAATGATCATAAGGAGTAAATTGCCACTGTAGAAGTTTGTGCTATAGAAAATAATATATAGATATCTGAATCATCAAGTGATAATTATGAATAATAATTATTATGTTCATAACAACATGGGGACAAATATGCATTTCTGTTATGAAAACAAAATCTCCAGCTTATGAGATTGATTATTAACATGCCTTCTGAACTATTATGTAACTTGTAACCCAAAGATTTGGAGCACCTGTTAAAGGATCGGAGCTTTTGGTTCTGTTATTAATACTTTATATTCAAATTCAGATTATGTGATAGGATGGAAGAGATAGACATACTTTGAAACGCATTCCTTGATCAAGCCCTTTTCTTGGCATTTATAGGTGTGTTAAAGCAAAAAAAAAAAGTGGTGTAGAGAACACAACAAATTTCTGTAATTTATAAGGTTATTTCTCCACTATTTATGATAAAATAATTTCCAATACTTCAGCAAGTGCTGTCACATTTGTCTGCAGCATATACTCAGTAGTTTTTCTTTTTAGCCCAGTAGTCCAAAATACATTAAACCTAGTTGGGTACTAGAAGGATCTTAAAAACTTTAACACGAGATTGGTGTTGGTAAAATACTAAAATGCTCCCTGTTAGATTTGGATGACCATGTGCACAAAGATGGTGAGTGACAGATGCAATTGATTACTTATGACATTCTATAGCTTTGCCACACGGTAATTCCCAGTATAGTGAACACAACATGTGGGTAAAGGCATGTGTTTGTTAGAATATATTTTAGTGTTAATTACTTCTGAGGTAGCTATACAAGAAAGTTATACATTTATTGCAGTGACATATATGTGCTCATATTGTGGTAAACTATGACATTTACTTCATCATGCATGATTGAGTGCTCATGCAACAGAATTGGGCAAATAAAATGCTGACACGTATTGCCTGTGCATTACATAATGTCCATTTGAAATTACTAGCTTCATGTAATGTGTCAGCACTTGAACGACCTTGTAGTATCATCACTAAGTCATTTGTGTCATGTGCATCACTTGTGTGTGCAGAATCAATCTTGATCGGTTGCATCAAGTACATACTTGCATTGGAAGTACCACAGATGTGATCTGATAACAATGGGAGCCTATACGTAGGTATAACAAAAACAACAGAGATGTAACATGAACATAGCTGCCCACTGTCCTTGTTTCTGAGTGACATTGGCAGTACGAGCCATACAATTGTTGACCAACTGATGCACTATCATAGGAGGTCTGTAGAAATTAGACTTTCAAATACATAAACGCATACAATAATTAGAGTTTGACCAGTAACAGATTATTGTCGTGTTTGTGATAGAATGGTACATAATTTTGAATGTCTGGAAGGTGCTCCTGAGGTTTCTGAGTAGACAGTCTTGCATGTTTCAACATGTGTGTGTCAATGGTTAAATTACCAAGGTATTCTTGGTAAGTATGGGGAAATCAGGCTACTTGAGAGCTGTGTTTTTACTGCCAAAGAGTTTGTTGGATCTGTTAGTCAGCAGGCTGTCTTTACCTCAACAACCAGATGACAAACAACACATGGTCCTTATTTCAATTACACACAAAATAAGAGTTGACCAATTCCTGTGACAAGTAGAGTCAGGGAAACCCTTTCTGGCTAGGATTGCCTTTGGAAATGGCACCAATACAACCTATTAATATTACCATACAACACACAGTACTAGGTCCTTATTTCAATTACACACCAAAGAAGAGTTGACCAACTCCCGTGACAAGTAGAGTCAGGGAAACCCTTTCTGGCTAGGATTGCCTTTGGAAATGGCACCAATATAAGCCATTAATATTACCATGTTCTTTATTGATGGAGCAGTGCATCTGCCCCAGTGTTGATAAACTTTATTGTTTTCGTTTTTTTTTGTAGAATTTTTTCTCTATCTAAGAAATAAAAAATACTCTGGTTGTATATACCTTACTATCAAACATGGTGTAGTTAGCTTGCAAGTTATATTTTGAATACTTACACTGATTTCAGTATTGGGAAAAAGAAAAAGTATTAAGGCTAATATACTCAAGTTTCTAAGCAGAGTACATGCCTCTCTTATTATATATATATTTGTTATTTACACTATAATATTAATTTAAAGAACAAAACCTGAGATAACATATTGACCTTAAAGCTTCAAAATCAATTCATTTTCATTACCTCTTGTATAAAAATTAAAAAATTGGTAGCTTCTGCTCATCAGTCCATAACACCAGCAGCTTAAATTGTTTTTTAGGTTCAAAACAATAAGTATTAACTAGAGAGCCTGCTGTTGACATGTATCCAGTATGTACAGGCTGCTGACCAAACTGAGGACTTTAAAGTAGAGAATGAAGCTTTTGAAATCGAACAACATTGAGACATGATACATATCATTAATATATTGTTTGATGGGGCTACTTTTGGGCTATTGAAAAATAATATAACGATAATTACAAAACTATATTATTTTTTATTGAGTTTCTACCACCAGAAACTAGTTTGTTTCATTAAATCAATATTTTTCAAGCTTCAGAATAAGAATTTTGAGTGGAAGATTCTAAGTAACCATTCAAATATAAAAAATAATTTTAAACCAGGATTACATTGTACTGTATGAAAAGGATATTACAAATGCCTCTTAACCTAGCATGCGGTTTGAAAGTGACATCTAAATTATATTATTCTTTGTAGTATAAATATGTAAGCAACTTACCAATAAATAAATAGAAACTTCCAAGTAAATAACCCTAACATGTAAGTACAGGTATATCTTAGTAAATATAATAAAATTAACTTTATTTTCATAATGTCACATAGATGGATGATGGGAATGCAGTCAAAGTTAGCAATAAATCACCAGGTCAGTTGCAGTACCACTGTCCGTAGTGAATAGGGTGACATTACAGTTCCATATATGGAAAACAACAGTATTTGAACAGCCTGACCACTCATAACCAATAAATTGGACCCTTCGCGGTGTGAGAAGAAATGTGGAGAGGGACCTGCATCAGACAGCTGTGCGATACTATTATAAGTTATTTTCATAGCATGCACATTTCTCTGACATTGGACGTACCTAGGTTTGGAGATCGTCTTTCTAGGAACTTCTGTTAAACCATGTGCTAGTTATCATAAAATATGGAAGTATTTACGTCACTGTGTGAGGTGTCATTTGGGCAGCTGGACAATCTCTGATAGTTGAAGGGATGGTCAGTGCTGTTCTATACATCACAGCTCTTCAACATAGTTTTCTGTCTTTACCCCAATGACCAGCTTACCAGACAAGCCAGTGTTTTCATATAAGATGGTGTTGTTGGTCATTTAGCCTAAGTCTTATAAGGATGACTTGAATATCAGGATGTTACCTCTCTCCTATAGCCTTGCCAGTTGCTAGATTGTTACCAACAAAAGCATCTGAAACAGCCTAATTTATAACTGTAGTGTTTTGGCCTTTCATAGTATTAGTAAAAAACTCTGTAGCAAATCAGGCTCTGATTTCAAATTTGTAAATGCAACATGCACTCCCTGTTTCCATATAAATCTTGTGAAGGGCAGATCTACTAAATTCAATTGGTAACCTTGCAACTTTGTTTTATATTTGATTAGTTAATGAAATGTCATTCTTTTTGGAGTTGGTTTCTGTTTACTTACTTGTAATCTGTGTATCTGAAAGTTCTTCATTTCTTCCAAGTTTCGTAATCAGAATACACGAACTGATGAGAAAATGGCTTTATAATTAAACCCATTGAATACTCTGCTAACATAGCAGTTCATGATCACATTTCTTTACTGTTGTCAAATGGTCAAGCCATCAATAGGAATATTTGAATGGGAAGAAACATCTGAGCAAAAAATGTAATTTTTTATGAGTAATAATTTCCTGTATATTTTTGATATATACACTGAGAAAATTTGCACTATAGTTTTATCGAAGGATGGCGACATCAGTCTTAGATCACACAACCTGACAAACCTTCCACTGTATGTGAATGTCAACCCAAGTGTCCATTGGAAATGCATCCGATCACTTGATAGGTATGTGGTCGAATGATATGGCTGTGATAGCATTTTTATGGCCATCCTTTTTGTGAAAATGCATTGAATTTGAGATGTTCCTGGAATAATTTAATGTTTTAGCCGTGAGTCTTACTAAGCATCAGATCCATGTTTATTATCACATTAACCATCTCAGTTGTGTTTTGTAACTAAGCCTTTACTTTTTAGATGTTCCAGAGTGATTGGGGGAGTGGTTTTGAAGTGTGCATTGCTGTTCTAAATGTTCAGCTGTATACGTTTTTTCTGCTTCTAATTCCATAATCAAAATATTGTGTCTGTCCTTTGGTTCTGTCATGTTTAGCAATCTTCTGTATGAATATCTTTTGTTGGGAAAGCTTTACATCCAATCCAGCCAATCAGTCTACCTCTGGCAGAGATCTTGCTTCAAACCAAATATATAAATAGTAAACATGATGTCTGTTGAACCACTACATTGGCATATGTGGATCAATCAAATAAAGTGCAATTAACTTTCTGTCTGTTTTGCAGTTTAGAGTTAATAACCTGTATGTTGTTGTTTTTTTTATCTGACAGACTTTCACGCCTGTTCTTCTGTCATTCTGTTAGGTGAACGACCTTACAAGTGCCACATCCAAGAATGTGGACGTGCTTTCATTCAGCTATCTAACTTACAGCAACATTTGAGAAATCATGACAACCAAATGGAACGATCAAAAAACAGGCCATTTAACTGCAACATTTGTGGGAAGGGATTTGCTTCAGAAAGCAGTTTAAGAACACACCGATTAAAAGTAGGTACTACTTTCTCTCGTGTAACTCTTCGGTTACGATATATTTAAATGTTGTTGTTTTTATGATGATTCCAAGTAGCATGTAGACTGTTCAACTTCAATGTTGTCAGATTTACAAGTTTAAAATTGTTTTACCCAACCAGGAAAGTATCTGTTTTAAAAATGTTTTAAGTTTGAAGAGAATCATTTTTAGCATTAGAATACACTTGTCACAAACTTTTAGAAGAGAAGAAAAAGAAAAATTAGTTGTTGTTACTTAAATAATATTACTTAGTTTATATATAATCGAGTGCTTAACAAGGAAATATTACCATAATATAGCTTCTGTTAATATCAATATAAAAAAAACTTGTATTTGATTTTGTTATGTATACTTCACATTCTTTATATTTCATGCCTATTTTGTCACAAAATTAAAATTATATAATGTCCAGTTGCAATCCCTGCCATGAACAAAATATCTGCTTGTAAGGTAGGTTTTATTTACTAAAATTATGTCCTATCATAATTATAAACGAAGAAAAAAGAAGACTTATTTGTTAGGGTTAACTTTGTGTGTTATTATATAACAAAACCTATACCAATTGACAACTGCATTTTGAAGTAGGGTAATTTCATATTATGTAATCTAAATAGAGAATGTGATCATTGGAGGCTTTTATGCCAAAGTAAAGTTTAAGTCCTGAGTAAAAATTTTGCTATTGCACATAGTTTGATCTGTTATTGAAGAAGAATAGTTAGCTTAACTTCCTTTGTTTTACTTTTTTTATGAATTAATTCCTTAGAAAACAGGTTGGATAGCATATAATTTTCATCAGGTAACTGATTATTATACTTGTCTTAGTGTGTTTAAAACATTTGCAAATTAGTTTTTTAAAAAAATTAATAGCAAACTGAAATGTAACTGTCCTCAATTGTTGTAGAAAACTGAAAGAAAGCAAAAAATAATTATGCTCCAGATACATGTACGCAATTATTTTTGGTTTTGGTTTTTTTTTCAACTCTTATATTAGCTTAAAATATAACAGCCAATTATATCAAACAATTAGTAGCAAGATTTTAGCTTTTGTGCAATGATAGCTTCAACCATGGCTTTTTTTACAACTTGAGAAATTATTAAGTTACTTTAAGCATTCCCTGATTTGGACTCAGACAAGTTGTTTAGCAGAATTTCACCGTGGTATATTTTAATATTTTTAGGGCCTTTTCTTTTTTTACTTCTTTTACCTTCTAATATTGTTTATAAACAGGATAAACATCTCTTTGATTAAATTTAATATCATACTAGCAGTTTGGAGTACTTACTTTAATGAAAATGTTGGTGAAGTTATTTTTAAAACAGTCTGTGTTTGTATACAATTTTATAGCTGTGTGGGTTATGTGATTAAACTAAGTATTTGAGAAAGGAAGTTAAAATATCATATCACGCATACAAGTTTTTCAATGGGAAGTCTTAGTTAACAGTTTGAATGCCACACATGGTTTTTGAGTTGTGTGAGACACTTCTCACAAAGGATTACTTGTCAAGGTATTTCAACAAAGACATGATTCAAAACATTCCTACTACAGCTTTCTCTTCTTTTGTCCAATGCTTCTTAAGCTCTTTCCTTGTTCTTTTTTTTTCTAAATCATCCACATGTAAGCAGAAGAATCAGTTTTCTGACACATCTGGTTGACAGATTTTGCACAGAACTGTCATTCTTTAATGTAATTCATCACTACACTCTCCAAGTTCAGCTTCTGAACTGAGTGTGGGTTCTTAGAACAGTTGATGCTCATTAATATTCATCTGTCTAGGCTTCATGCATATTTTAAGGTTTTTTTATTTTATTTTAAGGATCTTCTTTGTAGTCCTTACTGGTTTAATTTTTACTTAGACCCCCCCCATTTTTTCTCCCATCAAAATCAATACTTTGTCACAATGATACTTAATTCAAAATCTTATAATGCTGAATATCTAACATACAATTCTCTTTTTGAAACCCTTTGGGTCAGTGAGAAGCACAATGGTTTAAAGAACTAAATTTAGGATTTGATCCCTATGATGGCATCAGTTCAGATATCTTATTTTGCAGTTTTATTCTTACCAATCACATAAGCTCTGTTTTATTTTATGAATAATCTTTAAAAAATTCTTGATGGAATTTGGCAATTTTCGCTCTACCAATACTATGAATGTTTATATATTTTTTATTGTGCTTTGCTTAAAAGCAATACATTTATAATTGTTGAATAAATTTTTTACCATTACTGGGATTACAATAAACCCAAACATAACTTACTTAAAAATAACACCCTTGAGAAAAAAGTTATTAATTTGATGCTGCTTTTGTTATTTACCATTCCTTAATTTTTGTTTTTATCCAGACCACCTTTTGAAAGCATTTAGACTTTTGAATCATTTTCATTATTAATATAGATGTCTATTTATTCCCAACAACTAAAAACAAACTCCAAATAATGACGGGAACATCTTATTAGTGTAAATTTTGCCTAAAAGCTTGCTGATTGATTGTTTTGTTTTTTTGTTTTTTATCATTATTATTGCAGTTAAATGCCTATGCATTCATGATCTTCTTTTAGTTATAATATTAGGTTCTGCTATTGTGTTGTCTAAAAATGTTTCTGGCAAAACTAATAGTATTTTAAAATAGGATTGGCTATAATTTTACAGTATAAAGTCTAAAATTCAAAAGCTTTGTTACATATATATGTATATATATTAATTGAGTTTATAACAGTCTTGAAGCTTGCAGTACTATTGTGTGGGATTAATATCATAATACATATAGAGAAAACTGGGGGAAAAATAACACATTTTAATAAGGTATATAGAGTGCACTACAATATATTTTTTTTAATGAACTTTCTGTAAACAAACTATAGGTTTTTTAATATAGTATATAATTTCAGAATAATTAAACTTAAACTTTTTTGTGTTCAGTGAATTTGAGACAATTATAAGAAATGTATTTAAAATGTCCAATGTGTTTAGTTTTTTGTTTTTTTATGGCATGTGCAGTTGTTTAATTATGGGTACAAAATCCTCCATCAAGAGTTTCCTTAATTTCTGTTCAAATATTTTACAGAAGATATAGATAATTGTCAAAGTTTAATATCATGGGAGAGCAGATTTATTGTGTCAAATGAAAAAAAATGATTGGTGTTTTAAGTATTTAACCATGTCTTTTTTTATTTTTCTCTAGCAATATGCATCCTTGCTTGGAGGATTGTTACGGATTGGTGTTTTAAGTATTTAACCATGTCTTTTTTTTCTTTTTTCTCTAGTAACATGCATCCTTGCTTGGAGGATTATTATGGATTGGTGTTTTAACTATTCAACTGTGTATTTTTTTTTCTCTAGTAACATGCATCCTTGCTTGGAGGATCAAGCTCACAGTCTTGTCCTGTTTGTCATAAGATCTGTGTGAATGGAGAAGCCCTCATGGAGCACATGCGAGTCACTCACAAGGACCCAAATGCTTCAGGGACTCCAAGTAAGAAAAAACACTGCGAGTCCCATACTCTATCTGATCCTAATCATGCTACCTCAAATATAACAGATAAAAACTCCATTTCCCCCCTCTATTTGCCTTCTGTTAATCCTTCCCCAACTTCTTCCCTTATGCGGAGTCCTTCAAATTCACATGAGGGTAGTCATTTGCATCCGACTTCTCTAGCAGCCCACATGGGCTTTACGGGTCATCCTGCACTCGGTGGATTTCTGACTAGCCAACAGTTAGCTATGGGGCATTTCCTAGTCCCACCAGTTACTTCGTCACCCAGTACATCCCAACCTCTGCACTTTCCACTGGCAACTCGACCTCAACCTTCTTTTTTAAACCTATAATAAGTAGATCACCACTAATTTAAGCCTAGTAATTAAAATAGTATTTCTCAAGCAATGCACCTTAATAGTGACTTTATTTAACCAGATTGAAAAGGAGGTTTAACTTGCATTTTTTGGTATATATATATATATATATATATATAAATATATATATATATATAGATTAGATATACACACATATAATATCGTTCACAAATTCTCATGCACTAGAACGTTTACAAAACAGTATCATTGCATTTTGACATTCTACAAGATGCTGTTCAAGACGAATATCTTTACAAAGTTTAATCCTTAGAGTGCCATATGAGTAGAATCAGCTCAGATATATGACATTTCACCAGAAATGGAAATCATTTCAGTTTGTTATTTAAACATATTGAGAAAGAAATGTTTCCTTCCATGGATATATGATCTCGTACAGAAATTCTCATGAGCTATGGTATTAACATGGCAGTCTCATTGTTTGGTTCTAGTTTCTGCTTTAAGTTCTCTTCAGATTTGGATACCACTCTGGTACTCCTGTAAAATCTCTTAACACTTGTAGCTTCACATAAGCAGAGTCAGCTTAAATTTTATGGCATTTCACTAAAAGTGATGCTAAGTTCAATTTAATGCAAGAATATGCATATTACCTGAATAAAACTTGGCTTGCAGTTTTGAACATTATGCAGACTACAAACAAAATCAAAGGGCTTGACTTTTTTTTATGTATCTCTTTTTGTGTTTGTAAAAATGTGCATTCTGTGTGAGATGCATGATCTTTTTCTTGCATGATTTTTGTGTCTGAAGACAAGTTACTAACGGGCTGGTGAAAAAATAATAATAAAAAAATCACTAAAAGTAGAAAAACATAATATTTTTTTATGTTATTCTGTGACAACTTTTAATTTTTTCAATTTATGTTTATATGGGCAGTTTCAATATACATACATATTTCACTTTTTTCATATGTAGCTGACAAAACCAAAACATACACTTAATAATCTCAAGAACGGGTAACATTTAGTTATTTTACTTTTCTTCATTTACTAGGTAACACTTTACAAAGTTATTTCTTCAGTTTGTGCTTGCATTGTGCATAGAACATTCTCCCAAGATGTCCCGAGCTTAGCTGTAACTACGTTTCCAATTTTACTTGTGTATTTACTGCTGGAATAACTCGCTTGCAAAGAAAGTAATTTTTTTTTTCATAGGATGATTTTAAGTATTGTTAAAAATTTTGCAAAGCTATAGTAAGCCAGGAAGGAATTAAAAAAGAAGTCTCTTGGACTGTAACGCAGTGGGATCTGTACACTTGTTTCTTTGTGGAGGTAATGTAAGAAATTAACTAATGAATTGTAATGATTCTAAACTCGTGTTTGATGATTGATTAGGTACAACCAACCGCTGATCGATTATTAATAGATTGTTGATAGCAATGTAACAGTGATTAAACAGTCATGTGTAATTAATGATTTCAGTGAATATTGTTGATAGCTTTCTTAATTAATCTGGCTTTCACCACTGTAAGGCTCAGCATTTTTTGTCATGCTAGTATGACCTACACTAGATTTCTCAGATCTCGATTCTGCATTAACACACCCACTCATTAGCTAAATGCAGGTAATCTTGTATGACAGAAAAATGTGCCCACACCATCACGCATAAGTAATACAAGTGCATACTTTCATATATGCTGCCACTTTTTCATTTGTTCATTGTAACAGTTGTCAAAATACTAACCAAGTAATTGGTTGAGGCTATAATTAATCCATATCCAATCTGAGGTATAGCTAGTGTTATGAGAATATGCTGTGTAAGTAAAATATATCTTAGGTTGTACAAGTACTCGAGGTGTAAAGTTTGTGAAAAAGAAAAAAAGAAGGATCTGAGCCCGTGTAAATTAAATGTAAAGGAAATATAAAACCGGCTGCTGTGTGTAAGGAAGTTGGATGCATAATACTATCATTGTTTGTGTACGTAAGATGCATAATCTGTTGTTACATCTTTTATAAGATGAATGATCATGGACATTTAAGGCTGCTGTTATTGTATCTTGTGTTAGCCAAAGTTTGGCTACAAGAGGTTACAAGGTAATATTGATGATATTTTGTGCTTTTTGTTGTCAGATAAAACTGTACATCTTCAGATACGAAGTAAAATAAATCCCATTTAAGTTCATTCACAAGGTGAAATTGATGTTTGATAATTGAAAAAAACTATATGTAATTTTTAATTACATGTAAATATATATACAAGCAAGGTGCTGACAAGCCAAGTTATAAATTTGTTGTCACAAGTTGCGTGTCTTCTTTTTTACCTTTTTTTTTTATTGCTATTAAGAGTTTTTATTGAAACTATGAATATTAGCACCAAATGTAAGATTTAGTTGACAGATAATTATTACTCAAATGATTTTATTGGTAGAAATGTTTTTCTAAATGTAATTTCTTCATTGGTTTCTTTGCTTTTTAGTATAAAGTATTAACTTAATAATTCATGCACCTTTATATGTATGTTATATGGCCCATGTTATCTGTTAGCTTGTTTATTAAAAACTAATTTTCTTTAGTAGTTCATTGAATAAATGAAAATAATTTAAATAATAAAATGTTGGTGTTTGTTTATCAAGTGGTTTTTTTTTGTTCTGCTTTACATGTGTTCTGTATAACTTATAACATCTATTAATAAGTGAATGCAAGTTCAAAACTAGCATTCATTGCAAACTTTCAAATTCTGTTCTGAAGCCTCGATCAGAGAGAGTAGCCTCACACTGCTAAAATTGTTGGATGTATTAGTCCCCGTGAGTGCTCCAGTACAGGAGCCAAAATAGTGCAATAAATTCAAATATCACCATCTAGTGAAATCATATAAAATTTTAATCATTTTTTCATTTCAGAATAAAATGTCTGTTAATTTCTGAATGAAATTGTTTAAGGATTGTTCTTCCTCACTTGTATTATTAACCCTTTTTCTTGTCTAAGTGTTGTAGTTTTGCAAATTTTAAGTGTCAAATGAAAGGCATGCTGCTTCCTACTTTGTAGTACGAGTCGTTGAATGCATTTGATAAGAATGAACTACTGAGACTATATGTTTAACCCTAAATCATGTTACTCAGAAGGTTCAAAGTTCCTTGGAAATATTTTTTAAAACTTTTTGTTGTGTGTTTTTAAAGGAGTGTTTTATGTGGATCATAGATAAAATGAAAAATATTAAAAAAACTAGCACAAGTTCCTGTTATCTTTTTAACCAGTACTGTAAAATGATTATATGATTTCTGTAATCATTTTTTTTAGAAAGAATGATTGTAATTTCAATACAAAATTTACACATATCTAATTGAGAAATTTCTATTCTAAAAAGAGAGAAAAAAATTTGACTGTGTTAAAAGTTTTCCTTACTTACCAGTCCACCTCAGTCATTATTTAATAATTTATGTACCCTAAAAAAATGTAGAACATGTAAACGTACTTTGCATTCTTTCTTCACAATTCCTTTATTATTTTGACAGTTCTGTAGCGTAGACTTGGCTTGTAAGACAAATGGAATGTTTCCTCCCAAGCAAAGAATTGTGTACATTACTTGATTATTAACATTTAATAATATAAAACATTATTAATGTTTGTGAACTTAAACCTATTGAATAATTTACATTGTGATTAGGCTGTTTCCAAATGAGTTTATTTAAAAACTGGAAAAAAACCTGAGCATTTGATGAAATTCGACTCACTCGGTAAATCAGTCTAAAAATGTAATATTTCTCATACATGGATTGCAATATTACTTTTTTTTCCTGAAGGAACAGTTTTTTTATTATTATTATTATTTGTAAACTAACAGTTAGGAAGAAATTTCCTGAATATATAGCTTTTATGGAACAGGATGTTATCCAGTCATGTGAAAAGTTCCAAAAAATAATTTCATGAAGCTCCTACAATTCTTAATAGAAAAACGTTAAAGTATTAAAATAATTTTCCATAGCAACTTGTTAGCATACGTTGTAGATACTTTGCTTCTCAGTGCAGAGGAGAACATATTTCTTATCCCTTATGTTTGTATAAGGCTCAATGTTGCATCAAAATAATATTGTGTAATGTTTATTGTTATCAGTTTGTTTACTTCTATTTCATTACAATGCATGTTTTTAGATATCCATTCATCTCTGATTACTGATAGTTTTTATCTTTGAAGTAGTAATATACATTATATGACAGCGGAAGATTCATCTCATAGAATGGTTTGTACATAGATCTTCTAAAGATTTCCATAATGCAGCAGTTACTAATGTCTCACTAAACACATTTTTTTTTCATGAAATATTGATATATTTTTTAAGGTTTTTCTTTTATTTCATGGACTAAACATAAAAATATTGTCCCCTTCGGGAAACCTTCACTCCTAATTAAATTTACGTAGGTATGTTTACAGCTGTACAATGTCTCTGTGGTATTCTGATGTTTTCCAAATCATCAGAATTAAATGTTATCCTAAGATACCTCGTGAAATTGAATTTTGGGGTCTCAGTACATTACCATTTCATGATTTGAGCTTTCCCTCTTGTGTATGAAAATTCTAGAAAATTTAGATTTGCAAGCATAAAATGGCAACTCTATATATATATGTTTATATATAACCTGTTTTATTATTCAGTGTCAAAAAGTTAATTAC